ACCTTTGCTGCGTTCTCGCTCTTACTAGCAGACAAAGGCCCGCGCAATGCGCAAAGCACTTCCTTGGCGTTCTCGCTCTTACTAACCAAGGGAAGCGCACAAACAAACAAACCCACCTTCCCCGTCCACAACGGCAAAATCAACACAAGCAACATGTAGCGCCCTCAGCCGGGTGGGCCTGACGAGTGCGTTTGGGCCATTCGAGAATGATGCACGGCGTTCAAAAGGTAAACATTGATCTCAGACTGCGGCAAAAACATGCTCCTATCTTCCCATGCACCGCAAAATTAAAAGGTTTGGTAAAACTAATTCGCGCTTGCAGCATAGTGCAGATACCTTACGCCGAAGCTATCCGTACTGCACAGACGCGCAAGAAACCCAAAGAAACTATGTTCTTGCGGAAGGGAACGGGCGTTCCCAACAGATGTTTAATGTAAAGGACAACTGAGGGCTCAGTTGACGCAATGCTTAACTACGGTTGGGAGCGGGCGTTCCCAACAAGAAGAAGTTGTGCCTAAAAAAAAGCGAGTGTGCATCAAGCTTGCAAAATGTTGACTTCTAGGCAATCCAGAGCAAGGCAATGGATTCTTCATGCAAGCTACACAATGCTGCCGTCGGCGCTGTGTGAGTCCGGGCGTCCTCGCATAGCTATTAGGGGAGTACCCTATTTTGGAGGCTCCTTGTGTTTGCGCCGAAAGTTTTGAGGCTCGACCTCATGGCCATAGGGCGGGCCTGGAGCGCTGCTTGCAAGAGGCCACAGCCCCGCGCAGCGGCCGATTTTTTGAGACGGCACACAACTTGGCTCATGTGCTTCCCAGGTACCGGGAGCCTATCGGCTTGGCATGCTTAACCTGGTGCAGTTTAAGGCCCCCAAGGCTGCTTACCGGTCTGCAGCGTCAAGTGTGAGTTCAGACAACGCACACTGCAAGACCTAACCCTAGTTGGGGAAGAAAGGGTAGTGCGACACCCCTAGATCCCAAGACCCTGCGGGAGGGGGACTAGGGGAAACAACGCCCAACCCTATGCGCACTGTCCTTTTCACGGGTGCTGCTCTGGGCGAGTTGGCATCAGGCCGGCGGCCCCTCAGGCGAGAGGCCTCCGGGCCTGATGGGCGGCATACCCCCTCTTTTGGAGGGTGCTAAGGCGGCTTGGCTTAGGCTACTTTTGTTTGGGAGGCAATTGTGCGGCAGTGTGTGTAGGCTACTCCACTTTGGGAGGCAATAGGCGTGGCGGCGATTGCAGTGGCGGCGATTGCAGAAAGTGCAGAGAGTTTGGCATCGTGATGCGCAGGGCAAGGGTGGGCGGGCGAAAAAAGCTCACGATCTATGCAAGGCCCCAACTCACAGGGTTAGGTCAGGGCCAGCTGAGCCAAGAGCCAGCTGGGCAAGGGCAAACATGGGAGGTCATGATTCATGCGTGTCAAAACACCTGGGACAACAAAAACCCAGTGCGTTCAGACAACGCACACTGCAAGACCTAACCCTAGTTGGGGAAGAAAGGGTAGTGCGACACCCCTAGATCCCAAGACCCTGCGGGAGGGGGACTAGGGGAAACAACGCCCAACCCTATGCGCACTGTCCTTTTCACGGGTGCTGCTCTGGGCGAGTTGGCATCAGGCCGGCGGCCCCTCAGGCGAGAGGCCTCCGGGCCTGATGGGCGGCATACCCCCACTTTAGCGGCCCAGGGCAGACCAGTGAAGTTAAGGCCAGGCATCCCCCACCGCGTGTGGTCTGACTTAGGTCTGACTTAGGCTTGCGCAGGGGACGCTATGTCAAGGAGGCCCTGGCTCCACGGCGTACTGGCAGAGGCCAGGGTGACTTCATGTGCCGACTTTTGCTTGTTCAGGCGTTTGGGCCAAAGGGGGGAAGGGGAGTGAGAGGGGCCTAAACCACAACTAAACCCTCAGCGCAAGAGCGCACCTTTTGCATGGTTGGTGCAGATCCGACCCCACCACCCGTTGGTGATAGGATGCAGCGCCGAACGGACATATGCCCCGGCATGAAATCACAGCGAGTGAGACATATGGGTGAATCGTCGTGTACAAGATGCCTGACCGGACGTACCGGACTACTAGGCAGAGCGAAGCAATCAAGGTGCAGCATATGAAGATAGGGACATTCCACAAAGTGCCTCACCGGACATACCGGACTACTAGGCGAACCCGGCTTGGAGCAGCAGAAATTGTGGCCTAACTGGACGAACCAGACTACTGGGCCAAGAAGAAGCATGGTGCCTCACCGGACATACCGGACTACTAGGCAAAGAAGTTGCACAGCCAGCAGAGAAAGGCCTAACCGGACGAACCGGACTACTGGGCCACACGATCCTTTAGCAAGCGTCGGCAGCCCAAGTGGGCGTGGTGCACAAAAAGGGACAGGGAGGGCGGGTACCAAAACAGTCGGCCTTCAAGCCATGCCACGGCGGGCGGCGATCATCTGAAGGCCCACGGCCCAACAGAAAAGGATCTCAAAGCATGTTCCCCAAATGGTGTAAGCGGTCCAAAACACATTTTCTCAAGTTTTGTTTTTCCTCAAAGAACTAAGCCCCACCCACCCGCCCAGGCCAAACTTCAAGAACAAACGATTTGGGAAACCCAAAAGGTTTGTTCAGGCGTTTGGGCCAAAGGGGGGAAGGGGAGTGAGAGGGGCCTAAACCACAACTAAACCCTCAGCGCAAGAGCGCACCTTTTGCATGGTTGGTGCAGATCCGACCCCACCACCCGTTGGTGATAGGATGCAGCGCCGAACGGACATATGCCCCACCGAAGGCGTTTGGCGCGCATCACCATGGAGTTTTCTCGGCCAGCTTCTGTTTCTTCGAAGCCTTCTCCCGAATTGGGTTCCGTTCTCTCAAGGCCACCTTCGATGCTTCGTACTCATCGTAGCAAGCCATCAATTCCTCAAACAAATCCAGCTTCAGATCGGAAAAGGAAACCGGCCTCCTCAACGACATGTCGAATTTCGAGAAGTCACCATTTGTCAAATCGTCGGCCTCCGTGTTCTCTTCCCGCGGCCTCCACTGCAGCTTCACACGCAGATTGGAATGAAGGAGTGTCTCAGACATTTGCATCAGCAGCCCCATGAGCGGCCACTTCGTAGATGACCCTTTTGCTTCGGCCTGAGGGTTCGACCGATTGTCTGTTCCACCATAGATCGTTGCCAACATGACGTTGCGACATCCAGCAGCCTGAAGGTGACCAAATGCAAACAAGGCCAGATAAGAAGCCAGCAACTCGGCGCTGGCTGATGCCCATTCGCTTGCTCCATCCTCCTTGAACAACCAAGGCGCCATTGTCGGTGTGACTTCAACAGAAAACCAGTCTGCTTTGGCCGGCACGTTCCCTTTGGCAAGGGACCAACCACCCAACACGACACGTCCACGCTCACACTTCGCATCCGTTCGAAAAGACTGGGTCACAAAGGGGGCCTGCCGCAAAGCGGGCACCAAGTGGTGTGTCAGCAAAAGATTCTTCCGGATGTAGATGAGCGAGAGATAAACCATCGTGGGAACACGCGCTGTTGTTCCCCTCGCCAGTACGGCACACCAGGAATGCAGCGGAGCCAAGAAAGGTTTTAGCCACAATAGCAATCTACCAACAAAAGTCATCCTGCCAGTGAACTCTACCATGGCACGACCCACTACCATCCAACTCGCAGCCTCAAGATCGTTGATCCAGCCCACTATCCACTTTGTGCGTTTGGATGAGAGCCCTGCAGACCATTGATCATATGCGATATGATATCCCACGAAATCAACCTTGATCCCACCTTTGAATTTGTGGTAGGCAAAAGGTGTGCCGATTGCCTCGTACGCCGCCAGGGCCATCCAAAGCACAAGGAATTTTGTGTCTCCAGCGGTCACGAGGTGTAAATCATCCACGTAGACCACCTCCATATGCCAGAGCGTGGTCAAGATGCGTAGCACCCACCTCCCAATGCATCCGAACAGCCGGCTCCACCAGTAGGCGGCGGAGCTGATGCCAAATGTGCCGACAGTATTGAGCCATACGGTGCGTGATGTCGAACTGGAACGGCACCCCATTTTCGGCCAATCCTTTCGCCTGACCTTCACCTGGCGATGAGCTTGGGATATGTCGGCAGAGATGGCAAACACTGCTTCGCCCGAGTCGCGCGCAAGGGAAACCATCTCCAACACCTCATCAGGTCCTGGTGTCTCCAATTTATCCAAGATGCGTATCCGATTGTTCAAGTTAACGCCGTGAGTTCCGTCGTGCAGCGGTCTGATGTCACCATTGGGTTTCTCCACTGCACCCATGGCGGCTACCAAAAGCTGCCCCGGACCATACTCCTGAGCCACTGCTCCCTCCGTGGTCGGCAGCATGCGGCCTTTCTGCTCATCAGCCCGAAAATGTTCCTCAAGTTGCTCAGAGGACAATTCTGCTGACGTGTAGTTGTCCATGATCGCTTGAAAAGGTGATGCATCCAGTTTTCGGAACTTTTCACGACGGGCAAAAACCTGCGGTGTACGGGGCAGCGGCTCCTCGTCACCCAATGGCACGCCTTCTGCAAAACACTCCGTTCCTTGAATCAGAATCTCCCAGTCAGGATCTCCCAAGATACGCAGAGATTGCGCTAGCATGTACAACAAGAACGGCTGGCGGTCAGGGACCCGAAGCGCCAGGGCCGGATCGGGCAATGTTCCCGCCAGCTCACCACGTAGTCTGTCCAGGGCGGATTGTGTGAAGGGACTCGATTCCAACCTTCCGGCAGCCAAGAGGAAAGCAGACTTCCGAATGTCAGGGAGTTCAGCCAAAACGAAGTTACGCAAGATCCTTTGCATCCGTTCAGCATGCAAGCTCTCCTCCCATGAATTCAGCTGTCCCCTTTGGCCCGGTGGCCAACGGCCCGGGGAGCATAGTCCGAAGCCATCAACGAAGACTCGCTTGCCTGTATCATGACGACAGACCAAAGGTTGTCCCAAATGCCCGGCTTGTACGCGGATCAAAAGGAGGTTCAGTGTCTGCAGTCTCTTCCGGAAGCTCATCCCCCCGAATCCACCGTGATCACTTCTTGACTGGCTTTTGTCGAGGGGTTCGCCTTGGCTGCCCCAGACGCCTTTTGTACCATGACCGATGCAGGAGCGTGTTCCCCCATGCGTGCGCGGTCTGCATCGGGCAAGACGAAGCCCAGCGCGGCCAGCAAGGCAACTTGTTCAGGTGAAAGAAGGTGTAGGTGGCGAACCGTGAACCCCACGAGGACGATGCGGCAGCCGCGCCAGGGTTCCGTGGCATGAAGATATTTGTGGGCATCCAGCAAACAGGGTCCAGCCGCCACGTCCAACAAGCGACCAGGTCGGGCCTGGCCGGCCACTGTGCGATAGACATCGCCCTCGGAATCTTCCCGCCAAACTTGCCCAGCAGTAAACTTGGAAAGTGGCATAAGCAAATTGGGAAATGGAGCATTGCGCACGTCCTTGTGAGGTGCCGTCAGTGTGTTAGTGAAAACAACCAGCGTAGAGAAGCATTGTCCTGGAAAGGCGCCTCGAAGAGCTGCGGTCAGAACCTTGATGGAACATGGGAAAGAATGGCATGAAGATCGCAGTCCCACGAAACCGCCCCGGGCATAGGCCCCGGCGAAGAAAGCGCCTTCACGTTGATGCCCAGCAGCCTTGTGAGTAGCTTCCCGGGGCAGGAGTTCAGCAAGAGGCTGCAAGTCGTCGGGTGCGAGGGCATCCACCCGATGAAGGAGAGACTGGGCCAAGGTTTCAGCATCGGCCGGTGCTTCAGGAAGATCGGTCTGTTTCTGTGAAGATGTTATGCAATCAACAAGATGCGAACAAAGTAGAGGTGGGTAACATTCAGATCCAGCGGTGCGCCACGTGCCTGAGGAAACGTCCCAACCCATCATGGATTCATGCCAATCGTGGTTGCACCAAGTCAAAGGACCAGTGTAGCACCCATCAGCATCAAAGGTGGGCCAGCCATTGGACCACTGTTCCGCCAGCGGAAGATTGGACATGAAGCGAGTTGGTTTGGGATGCAAGGCGCCAAAGGCGCATTGGTGAACCGCCCAAGTAAAACCATCGAGCGATCGGATTTCAGCAAGTTGCCAAATACTTGCCGGGACATCCCCAGTCTCGGCGACACCCAAGTCCTCGGGATGTTCCCAGATGTAAAATCTGTTCGCTGCACATTGATATCCGATCGCCTCCAAACATTGTTTGACAAAGTAGTTGGCAATCTTGACTAGAGCTGCATTCGATTCGGAAAGCCAAGGAAAACCCCATGGATGCATGCAATTGCGAAGAGGAACTGGTCCGGATCCGCTCCCGACAGATCGGTGTCGGGCACGAGAGTACGTGCCGCAAGGCGGGCTGCAGATCAAGATGTCCCATTGTCCCGCACGGAGCTCCGAGAAGATATTCTCCCAGAGTGAGGACTGAGATAAATCATCATTAGGCGAACGCTTCACGTCAACCTCACGTAGAATTAATTCAATGGCGTGCGCATCACACCAGCGTTCAAGGAAGTACCTCAAATCGCCATCGCGCGGAAGACCAGCGAACAAGTACAGCACGTTGAGCTGTGGGAGTCAGGTGTCGGTCTGCTTACCCGACTTCGCGAAATGCTCTTGCCAGTGCTTCCAGGTTGGGTGATCACCGAAACAACTCCGAACTTGGCAGCAGTGAACCATGCCACATGATCCGTCGCAACCAGAAGTTGAGTATGCAAAGCAAATGAGCCTGCCGTCCGGTGTTCGGCTGGCCAGCTCCCCCTTTCCTTTGCCCTTCCGCTCCTTTCCTTTGTCTCCACCTCCCTTACCTTTCTTGTCCTTGCCTTTCGGGGGTTTGCCACCTCCTTTCTGCCACTTCCATGGCTGCTCGCCACCATAGTCGGGATAAGCGTTTTGACGCTTCCAACCATCGCCCTTCCAGCCATCCCCTTTGATCCGATGTCCTCCCAGAGCGATGGGCGCCGTAAAGAATTGCTCTTTCAGCTGTGGATCATCGCACACCTCCTTGAGCGTAACTCGTAGCTCTCTGGATTCTCGAACTGCACGCTTGATGGCTTCTTTGCGTAATTCGTACTCATACGTCAGCATGACGGTCCATGGTGGTCGAAGCGTCATTTGATCCTGCTTGCCGGATCCCTTGCTGCCTGTGGGGATTTGCATACGATAGACTTTCTCCCCCAGCAGATAGTTCGCGTAGTCCAACCAGATCGTAGGATTCATGCCTGTGAAGAGCACCTTGTTGCGATACTTGGAAGCCAGATAACAGAAAGCCGTCCCCTCAACACGCAGCACTGCACGAAGCTCCTCAGTGTTCTGAGGCATCACCCCCTTAGCGCGTTGCTTGACGATCCGCACATGACCCCCAGTGTCCACTGAAGTTTGTAACCCCATGGTCTTCACTTGCTTCCGGCTTGTAACTTCTGAAAGGCTCGACGCTGACAACTCCCCATTCTCGATCTCCTCCATCTTCGTGGAAACATAGTCGTCTGAAGGCTCAAAGCTCTCCTCCACTTTACCATATGTTGCCTCAAAAGATGCACGCATGGCTTGACGTTCTGTCTGCGTAACCGGTCTCGTGATCCCAAGAACTTTGGCCTCTGCACGTAGCTCAGATTCCTTCGAACTGTACTCCTTGCATGACTCCCATGCTGAAACCACTGATGCAACAGCCGCACGTGTCACTTGATCTGCAGGTTCCAGGGTATGATCTGTTTTTAGGGCCTCCCGCACCCCGGTCCGTGAATCCGCATATGCTGCAAACCTCTTCACATTCTTGAAATCACTCCCCAATTTGTACTGCAGAGCGAGGGGCACTCCACACTCCTGGAGGATATGAAGCAGATCAGATGTGAGGTTCTTGTCCAGGTAGTCCAGCGCATCATCGTTCGATACGCCGGCTGGCAGCGTGAGTGCCGCTGGCGGGCCGGGCGGTGGCCCCGCCATTGCAATGCGATCCGATTGCACCACCTTACAGATGCATCAATCCTGACCAAGCGTTTAGGACGCAAATCAGGAAAACTAAGAACCAAACACGTATTAGAAGAAATCAATCACCTTGCACAAACAAAGAATCTTCCACCGCTTGATCCTGAAAGGATCCGATCATGACCAACAAGCTCACAAGTGCAGCACCTACCAGTTCGTGAAGATCCTACGGCCATTTCCACCATGGCCCAACCGGTGCGTCACAACCCGCACAACTGAGATTCACCTGCCACCTCCACCGTGGCTCTTGAGTGCAATTCGCGACTCTTCTGTTGAAACACGCAAGGAGTGCCTGCAACTACCCAAGCAAAATTCCCAGCACCCCCCAAGCAAACAAAGCGCAGACCACCCTTGGATCAATCACCTTATCACTCGGGGTCTTCACCGGCTGCTCCCAGAGGCTCTTCCTCAGTAAACTCTGAACCACTGCTGGAAGAGTCAGGGCACGCATCCATCTTTGGCCGGCAGAGTTTGCAAACTGCGTCGGCGATCCCCTCCTTCAAGACGAAAACGGGAGTCGTCTCAGCACATCGCTCCTGCCGCACCGCGCAGCTCTTGCTCAAGTGCAATCGACGAAATCCCCGACGTGAGATTGTAATGAAGTATGGTGCCTCCGGCATGTCATCGACTTCCACAGCCGAATACGGTCCAGGGAGTGTTGCATCCATGGAACCAGCTGAAGCGACCACGCGATCAGGCCCCACCTTCATACAAGGAAATTTCCCATTCAAAGACCACCACTGCTTCTCATCATCCCAAAGCAAAACCTCATGTCCCAGAACTACGGCAGCGCCATTTATGCCATTATCGTCAGCAAAGGCCTTGATAGTATGAAGCAGCTCCTCTTCCATGTATCCACCGTCTGCGTTTCCCAGCAAAAGGCATTTCGAAACATGATTTTGAATCGCTTGTACCACCTGCCGACTAGTCAGAATGTAATCCTGTGATCCATGCTGCGCATACGCCCAACGCCCCAAGAAATCCCGGCGGTCCTTCTCAACTCCCAGGGCCGCTGCCAGACTTGGTAGAGTGTGTCGCGCGCTTTGTCCCGACCAAAACATCACGAGCTGATCGGGGACCAAGCGCGTCCTGTTCAAGCCCCAAGTATTCCCACTACCTCGGACCGGTGCCATGAGCGACTTGAGCAGTCGTCTGCACTGAATAGCCAGCCCTTCGCCATCCATGTAAACACGACTGCCATGATCCCAATCTTCCGTGAAAATTGGACAAAGAAAATCCCTCGACCACCTCAGCTCCGCCGATGACGCCAATCGGGATCCTTCGAGCATCCAATCAAATCCCGACAGTCCTGCCACTCTCGAGATGAACCCATGCAATTCTCCAACCTTTCGCCCTGGCCCACTGGTCTTGGTCTTCTTCATGACAAATCGCATTCCAATCTGTGAAAACTTCAGGGTATCTGGATCAATGTTCTGAACATCGTCTGCTCTCAACGTCCCCCAGATCATCAGAAGCAAAACGAATGCTGTCCACCGTAAGCCAATCGGTCCAGTGCTCCTACAAACAGCCATTTCCAGCGAAAGCATGATTGCAACAGTGAACATAGGGGCAGGTCGCACTGCTGGCGCCTGAGCCTCCAGCTCCATGGTCCATGACCGGAAAGTCTCCAGCACCATAGGGTCTTGACTGAGACGGTCCTCGGGGGGGACCTGCCCCAGTGTCTCAAGCAATGAAACTGAAGACAACAGACAGTTCGGAACAGTTTTCCCGATGACCTTGCATTCTGCCCGCTCTTCCAAGTATCTGAAAAGATGCGCAGGGGACCCAGGCCAATAGAGATTGAAGCTGACTTCCAACCATCGTCTAAAACGACCCCAGGCCTGTGCTCGATTGCGCAGTGTCTTTGCTCGACGGCTGCCAAACATGCGAATCCATGCAGATTTCGTTTCGCCAAGTGCTTCCATACGTGCCACACAAGGAAGATTAGCATCGCGCATGTACACCACAAGCTGCAACGCCCAACGTTCCCTCTGCTTCGACTCGAGCTCTTCCCTCGAGGTTCCTCTCGCCTTGGAGAGCTTCACCGCTTTGATAACTTGCCCGAGCGAAATTCTAGCAGATCCAGCCACCAATTGCTCGAAGATGTCAGAGGAAGAGACCTCTGGACGTGGTATCTTCAACGGCCTTGACACGATTGATTCAGCTACATCTCGTGCACGATTAGTACCGCGCGCATTCTGCCTCAATGTCCATTGCCAAAGACTGATGCCAACCCGATCCACCTCAGCCTCAGTGAGTTGATCCTTAAGGAACTCTTTGACCAAGATGATTGCCTCTGCCTCATCATCATATGAGCAAGAAAATTGCGCAGCGCTATGGTAAACCTCTTGCACAGCTTTGCATAGTAGTGAATCATGCGTCCAGAGACTCTCCCATCCAGGCTTCGGTCCAGGGCCCGTCTCTGACATCACTTCTCATGCTCTGCAGCAATGTAATTTGAAACCATGGCGACTCTACCTGCACAAACCTACCGGAAGACCCTCACTACCAAAACAGTCGGCCTTCAAGCCATGCCACGGCGGGTGGCGATCATCTGAAGGCCCACGGCCCAACAGAAAAGGATCTCAAAGCATGTTCCCCAAATGGTGTAAGCGGTCCAAAACACATTTTCTCAAGTTTTGTTTTTCCTCAAAGAACTAAGCCCCACCCACCCGCCCAGGCCAAACTTCAAGAACAAACGATTTGGGAAACCCAAAAGGTAGGTGTGCGAGGTGCACATCAAATCTCCGTGCTTGACGGGAGCGGATGTGAGAGGCTTGAGTTCTTGGGGCTACGGCTGAGGTGGCTCTGTCAAATCGTGCGTGTGGGCTTCACTGGCACGTTCTTGCACGAATTCAGGCAGTTGTCCTGCGTCATGTTGTTGGACGTGCCGCGGGGCGCCATCTCTCAGGGCAAAAGTGCGTGATGGGCGGTAGCAAAATAGCACAGATGGCATCGCTGTGCGTCGCACGTGGGCGTGTGTCGTCATGAGCCCCCCAAGAACTCAGGCAAGATGGCCGGGCTGGCATCGCGGGCCGCGCACGCGAACGCTAGGGCGATTTTCCTGAGCAGTGGCTGGACCATTGGTGCCTGACAGTTTTGAGGCTCCTTGCGATTGCGCAGATTGCCTCAGATGTTTTGAGACTTCACCTCATGGCCAAAGGACGGGCGTCTATGCTAAGGCTGCTAAGGAGTGGTGGCAAAAACACAGAGGCACAGATGGCATCGCTGTGTGCAGCGTGTGGGCAGTGTCATCCTAAACCCCCAAAAGCTCAGGCCAGATGGCCGGGCTGGCGTCGCGGGCCGCGCGCGCGAACGCCAGAGCGATTGTCCTAAGCAGTGGCTGGACCATTGGTGCCTGACAGTTTTGAGGCTCCTTGTGATTGCACAGATTGCCTCAAATGTTTTGAGACTTCACCTCATGGCCAATGGACAGGCGTCTATGCTAAGGCTGCTAAGGAGTGGTGGCAAAAACACATAGGCACACATGGCATCGCTGTGTGCAGCGTGTGGGAAGTGTCATCCTAAGCCCCCCGAGAGCTCAGGCCAGATGGCCGGGCTGGCGTCGCGGGCCGCGCGCGGGAACGCTAGGGTGATTCTCCCAAGCAGTGGCTGGACCATTGGTGCCTAACAGTTTTGAGGCTCCTTATGATTGCGCAGATTGCCTCAAATGTTTTGAGACTTCACCTCATGGCCAATGGATGGGCGTTTATGCGAAGGCTGCAAGGAGCGGTGGCAAAAAACACATAGGCACACATGGCATCGCTGTGTGCAGCGCGTGGGCAGTGTCATCCTAAACCCCCCCAAGAGCTCAGGCAAGATGACGATGCTGGCGTCGCGGGCCGCGCACGCGCGCTAGGGCAATTTTCCTACGCAGTGGCTGGACTGTTGGTGCCTGACAATTTTGAAGCCCCTTGTGATTGCACAGATGTCTCAAAAGCTTTGAGACTACACCTCATGGCCAAGGGACGGGCTTTGGGCGATGCTTTCCTGCGCTCCTGCCCGTTGCGCAGATGTCTGAAAAGTTTTGAGACTTTTCCTCACTGCCCATGGGCGTCGCGTGTTCAGCTGAGATAGGCCCTCCTTGTGGCTGCGGCCCAAGGCTTCAGGCCAAGGGAAAGGCTTGGCTCCCTTGATGTGATGCTTCAGGCCGAAGGCAGAGAGACTGGCGTGGCTTCTGGTGGCTGCGGGCTGAGCCGGAGAGCGGGCTGCTGGCGAAGATGAAGGCTTGGCCCCCCTGGGGGCTGCAGGCTAAAGCTGGTGGCTAAGATTGAAAGCGAGAGAGTGTCCTCTTTGAGGCTGCCGCTCCGTGGCCGGCGGCCAAGATAGCTATATAGCTGTTTGGCCGGCCTTGAGGTTGCGGCTTCAAGCCAAAGGCCGAAGGCTAGGATAGCGGCTTGAGCCAGCTTAGGCCAAAAGTAGGTTCATAGCCCGAGACGAGATTCAAGTTCGCTGTTATGATTTACCCAAAAATCACACAAAGTTCATTTACCACTTCGCCACCTTGCACAAAACACCAATTTACCACACAAAATTTCATTTACCACCTCGCCACCTCAAACAAATACCCCAAACACATCTGCGCAATGCACATTGTATAGAATTTTACTAATTCTTTTTAGTAAAATGCTACTTGGTAGATTTTTCCCGCATTACTCTGTTAATATGCATTTCACTTGACACGTGCAAATGCCAATCATAATTCATTGCTTGCCATTTACATCTGTCGCAACAAAAATATTCTACACCACAACACATTTCCTTCCTGTCCGGTCGTTCCAGTTCTTCATTGTTTAAACTTTTTTGTAAAAAGTATTGATGATTTTTTGATTTTTCGTGTTGCGATTTCTTATATTTCTTAACATCATAATCACACAATTCACAATGATAAACGATTTGTTGATATTCTTTTAATCTTGCTTGTCCTCTTTCACTTTCTCTATATTGTTTGTTCCGTT